CATCAATCAAAACTTGTTTTGCCGTATTTGAATTTGATGATTGTAGACGTTCTGTTGCAATTGGTTTCCCATTTATTTTTGTTTGTTGTTAAAAGCAGCGACAAATTTAGAGCACGAAATACTGAAAAAAAAACTAAGAATACATTGAGCATAGTAGCGGAAGTATATTAACAAAGATATCCGGTCTCTTAGCAGCCATTAAAGATACCACGATAAAATAAACACAAACAACACTGCTTTGTGGTAAGTGGATAAATGATGGAAAGTGCATAAGGTATACGGAAAGAATCATTAATCAATTACAAAGCGATTGGGTCAGTGACTGCTTTCCTTTATTGGAGTTTGTGCTCTTTCTAAATATGCATGTACATTAGGGTGATTCAGAAATTTTGTTTTATTGTTTTGCCTCGGAACCATGCTCAAAAGTCCCGTTTAGACGCACTTAATATTAATATTAAAAATGTCCGCATCGCACTTTTAGATTTCTGATAAGAAGGAAATTGTTAAAGTACAACGTGTCGTTCGTTAAATATAAAAATCAGAAGTAAAAAAAAAAACTCTTCCTGTGTTTTTCTTATGGGAAATTGAAAAGTGCGATGCGGACATTCTTAATAATAATATTAGGGGCTCTTATTTTCTGAGACTTATTTTGGCATCCAAACGAAACTTTTGAGCATTGTGCCGAGGAAAAAAGTATTTTTTTTTTCTGAATCACCCTAATGTACATATCCATGTAGACTTCCAATTACGGCAATCGCTCATCGGCAAGGTCGCATGGCCTTAGCTTTAACTTGTGCTACCAGCCGCCCAGCCAGAAGCCAACACAGCACGCTAACTTACGCGCTTAAGGCCAGTATGCAGCTCTCAAGAAAACGGTCAAGAAAAAATTGCTAATTTTTTGCTAATGAAATGGTACTCCATTAAACATACATAAGTATAGAAAATATTATGTGGGCTGCCGATGGTGGCGTTGCGATTGTCGATGTCATATTACTCATGCTATAGCGTTTAACGGTACACTGCTCCACCTTCAGCGAAAGCGTGAATGGTTTTTCTTCGTGGATATTTTTGCAGTTTTTTGTTGTTTGGTTTTATGTGTCAACAATAAGTATGTGCCATAAAGACTTCCATTCGACAGATACTTTAATATCGAGGTTTTACTCTCCGAAAATAAAATAAATGATTTTTTGTGTATGTGCAAATAAAATTGAACAATGCCTGCAGAGTTAAGCCCCACTTATATCGCTCGTGTCCTGTTAACTATATGCTCGAGTATCATTTATTTATAAATACATACATCTGTAAATATGCTCGAAAGCCACTCGAAAACTTTCTACACTGTCGAACGTAAACACATACTTATATATTTGCACATTATATATTTATTCTTTTAATGGCTTTGTGTTTTCGTTTGTTTGCCCACTCCCTTCGCGTCCAGGATGCTTTTAATCTGGTAATCTATTATTTTCACCATTTTCACATTTCGCTTGGCAAAGCAGTTTCCGTTGTTTTCAATCGTTTCCTGATTGTTAACCGCTTCAGCTTTGGCTTGATCAACACTTTCATATCTGTATTTGTTTGGCTTTCACTTTGCTTGCAATTTATTTGTATATTTCAAGTGTTTTTCACTTTCAAAGTTCGCCATTTGGTTTGTTGCTATACAAATACATACATATTTTTTGAGTATTTGTATTTATTTTGTTGGCTTTGTGCTTTTGCGCGTGCAAGAAAAAGTGAATTTAAGTGAAACTTGGCTAGTGATATTAATCAGTCAAACTCGATTCGGACGAAAGTGTGTCAGTGGTACTTTTGGCGAATAACGAATTTATGTGGTGGAATGCAAAAAAATATATTTTAGAGATAGAAAGAGCATTTTATATATACAGTGCTGCATTAAATTAGGCACAGGGAATTTTTCGCAATATATGCAAAATTTTTTTCTTTATTTTTTCCCCCTCATATTCAACAATTTTAATGAGCTTGCAGCCGTGTTTAATCAAAAATTATTTTTTTTTGTGCAAATTATTTATATAAAACAAAATTTTTCTATTTTGTGCAAAACTCAAAAAAATTTAATAAATTTGTATATAAATTTACAAGTTTTTTATCAGATTTGCTACAAGAATTCTGAGTATGTAGTTTCTTCCATAAAAATTATGTATTTTCGACAATTTTTTTGTAAGGACGAAACTGCGTGAAGGAAATGCCAAAAATCAATGCGATTTTTTACCAACTTCAAACCTGCACTTTGGTATACTAAACTTTAATCAGCTGTAAAACCATATTTTTTTCAAAAAATCCGTTTAAAAAGTAGCAAACTTTAATGCAAATTTTCCTGAGTTTTGCACAAATTTTAGAGATTTTATTTTTGTTTTTTTTTTTTGTAGTTTGAACTATATATTAGTGGAAAAAAATTAAGTAAAAAATTTCGCATATATGTATTATGAAAAATTCCCTTTCCCTATAATTTAGTCCGGCGCTGTATATATACTAGCTTTTGCCCACAGTTCCACCCGCGTTAAGTTCGGTTTAATGCTATGATTTCAAATGCAAAAAAAAGTGTATCATTGAAAATGATGAATTTTATTAAGAAAGATCTTATTGTATCAAGGTTCCAGAACCTGTGTCGAGTTTCAACTGATTTTTGAATTTCAGTATAAAAAAACAACTTCCATAAATAATAGTGTAATAATATAAAGGGTGCCAGGTAACAGTAAAATTATTCAGTACGCAGTTATACAATGGGTTAAAATCAAAAATGAAAATAAAGCTGACATACTTCGTACATTTTTTTTTTAATTATTTGTATAGGCTGCCATTTCTTTAGAAAAAGAGTATTTTCTTCTTCACATCAATATCTCATTGGTATATTTCATTCATCTTTACTGGGGAGGCGAAAGATTTTCTATTTTGCAAATGTTTTCTTGAATTTCATTTTTTAAACAGGTGGCATCCCCCTCAAAGCTGTTTTCACAGTGAAGGGGCGACCTTTTCGTTTGACTTGCATATTGTAATATTACATTAAAATAATTGATTGATTTTAAAATATCTTCCAATTAAAACCTTCTTAAAGAGCTTTCGTTTGACTGAACATAATTTTTAATGTTTAATTTTACTTATTGACTAAATTTAGTTTGGCTTTTTAGCAGGTGGCAACCGTCTTTAAAAATATATTTGAAACACTACTTTACTTTATTTAACTTATGAAAAAATGGGATTTTACTTTTAAATCAGTGGCAGCCCTCATCAAAATATTTTCTAAGTAAAGCTATGGAAAACCTCGTTCGTTTGCCACTCATATTATAGTACTCCAGTCAACTTATTAATAAAATTCAATTTGACTTTTTAAATAGGTTTGTTTTCCTAATAAAGCTTTCTTGAACATCGTTCGCTTGGCATCCACATTTTGAAATTGCGATGAAATTTTAGTTTAAGGTAGATCTCTCTTCTTATCAGGTGGCATCCCTTTTCAAGAAAAATACTATATGAAAATTCAGGCCATAAGCTATCTGTATGCCAAATTTTATACACACAAAGACCAAAAAATATACTCACTCACAAACTTTCACATTAAATATCTAAACTGGTGTCAACTCCTTTTAAAAATATTTTTCAAAAAGATACAGCTTTTGTAAAACCTCTCTCGTTTAATACCACATTAAATTATTTTATTTAACTTGTTAATTAAGTTGGTTTTTTACTTCCAAACAGGTGGCACCTCCCTTTACACATGTTTATGAAATAAAGCTTTCTTAAACCTCTCTCGTCTAATACCCGTATTAAAATATTTATTTGTTAATTAAATTGATTTTAACTTTTAAAACAGGTGGCAACAATCGTGCAAAATATTTTTGAAGTAAATCGTTCCTAATGCCTCTCGTTTTACTCTCTTCTGTGTACTTATTAATTAGTCGATTTTAACTTTTTTGCAGGTGGCAACCCCCTTAAAATTATTTCGAAATAATTCGTTTTGGATACGTTTTCATTTGACAGCTAAACTGTTGATATATTTATTTACCTTATAAATTAATTAATTTTAACTTTTTAAGAAGTTTGCAGCTCTCTTAAAAAATATGCCGGTATAATAGAACTAATAAGTGTTCCATTTTTACGGGCGCAGAAGAAACACTCACTCACTCACAAACTTTTACATTTGTAATTTTGAAAGGAATCCTGCAAACCAAAGATCCCGAAATCTTAACGAAATCCTTAGGAGTATTTCATTTCTGTAACGATTTTTTTACGAATCTTCAAAGAAAATTGTATGAAGTGAAAGTAAAGAAACTTCTATACGAAAAATTAAAAAAGTTCCGAAAAAATCTTGCACACATAGCAGCATTATTTTCATTGCTTTGCCGAAATTTTCTGCCGAAATTTTTTAAATTCATCTTTCATATTGCATTGCCATCAACTTCTGAGCTATTTAAGTTTCAAGTTTAAAGTCTTTACTCATCGGGAAGTTGGTTAAAAATTCATTGCAAGAGTTGAGCCAAATAACCACACATGCATGCATACCCAGTAGTAAAATAAATAAAAGCTTGTAAAAATAAGTCAAATCCAAATATGTTGCGTATACGCCCCGTTGACGAACATTTATTTTGCTGCATAAAATACAAAACTTTCAATCTGCTTTTGAAATGAATAAATGAATATTTGATGGTTAAAAAAACTGCAGATGCATAGTATATAGACAAAAAATAACAAAAATAAAAGAAATAAAGAGGAGATACGCACACACACACAGATAACACTGGGCGAGCAACGGGGGCGTATGAGTAACCACATTTCTGGTTCACTGCGCATAACTAACTGAAAAATGCAAATTTGCATGCCCAAAAATTTGTTTAACCCCTACTAAGTGTACGCAGTGCTTTAAATTTTGTGCATTGTGTGGGAAATTTTATTTTTCCATTTAAATAATTTAATGCTAAACTTTGACTGAATGGAATTTGATCATGTAAAAGTACATACATGATTTGGATTTAAGAAATTTTACTCACCCATTAATTTGATGACTTCGCGATGACTGATGAAAACATTCAGATAGCCGTCGGTTAGTAGTGGGAACCAGCTGACCACCAGTGCACACCAAATGTTCAACCAAAATTTTGATATCATCTCGCTGATAGGAATTGCCTTTGAATGCGACGAGGAGAGGCTTCCAGAAACCGTCAGACGTGTAACAGTAGTTTGGTGGCGAGAAGCAGATGTAAATCTGATAACGTGTGCTTTTGAAATAACGAAATGGGAAAGTGAGCCACCAAAAATTTAAAGAGAATTGAAAAAAAAACTTGCTGCTGATGACAGCTGCTCCTCACTGAATATAAGGCTCTAACGCTGTTTCGTGACCTTTTCTCAATATATCGGTTTTGTTTGCTTTTCGTACTGCTTGCCTCTTTGTTTATTTATTTATATTCTTTGATTTTTCAATTTACTTGCTCTATTTGCTTATCGTAGGCGTGAAAGGGTTCGCTGCTTGCTGTGTTGATAAAGCAAAAGAAAAAAAAATAGAGAAAAGCGACTAGACGAGCCTGCCCAGTATAACTGAGTTCAGTGACTGGTGAAACAAACAACAACAACAACGTCAAAGAGCGACACTCTATTGCCGCTAGTCAATTCCAATTTCAATGTGCTCGAATTGCCCAAGGACTGTGATTTCAGATTCCTTTGCTCCTTTCCTCTATCTCTCTCTACCTCTTTTGATTTTTACTATTTGCGCGCATTAGTTTTTTGTTGTTGTTTTGTAGCTGAATTGCTTGTTGGTTGGTGGTCGTTGACCAGCAGCACTTTCACCATAAGCGTCGTACAATCAACAGCGTGATTGCTTTTTTTTTTTTAACCAGCTGGTTTTTTCTGCGGCTTCTCGTTGTATGCAATGCATGTGGCAGTGTCTGTGTTCCGCGAGTGGCGTCGGCAGTGTGGTTTAATGCGGCTTAATGTTGTCCTGCTGGTTATTGCAGTTACAGCTGTTGCTTTGCTCTTTTTCACAGTCCCTTTCGCTGTTGTTGCATACGCAGCTGTGGTGTGTTGTCAAGTGTTGCGAAGGCTGTTTGTATTTTTCCTTTTGCGGACACTTCTGTTACTATTGTTGTTGTTCTCGTGCTTGTCTGCCGGTTAGTCTCATTTTCGGGCAAGCAGCAGTCATCAAATGCCATTGCTCTGTCGTCAGAAGACAGACTTTGAAAACTTTCTGCCTTCAGTTTGTTTGTGCGTTGTTTCTGCGTGGCGTATTGCTTGAGCTTAAATTTTTATGTCCCTTTTTTATTCGTGTTCTACTAAAGCCGCTACAACACTTCTATGGCCATGTCTATATATGCAAACACATTTTTTTGCATTCGTTGTTTCTTTTCATTTGCTTGTCACATACCCTTGCCTACGAGAGCCACAATTTTCGGCATGTCACATATGTGTTTGACAACTCTTTTTCAGCTTTCTTCTTTCAGGTTTCACCATTGAACTCTTTAACTACCTTTGGTCACCGCTTCTGCAAAGAGAATAATAAACGAAAATTTGCGTTTAAAAATAAGTAGTACGAAATTTGATAATACTCAGTTGCTTCTGGTATGAGGGGAATTATATAATTAAAAAATTAAGAACTTAAGTTTGAAAAATAATAGTTTTAAATGAGTTAAGCATTTCATGTGACTAGCTTTTTATCCGCAGAAGCAAGTCGTGCATGGTTGAAATCACAATGAAGTTATATCATTTCATATGTATTGTTTGAAGATAGAGCCGCACTCGGAGGTTTACCATTGCTTGCCGAGGGCGAGCGCTGTTAGAATCGAACACAAGTTACGAAATTTTGGGAGGCATGTCCAACCAATCAGCCACAGCGGTCCTCTAGACAACGTGCACTGCATAAAAAGAAGTATTGAAAGCCAGGCTGCCTCTGACCATCATATGTGCCACTGTTCAACATTCTGTAGATTGCGATCCTTCTTCTCATTGGAAGATACAGCCGATCAAAAAGTCGACAATTATTGGTGCCACGCCCAACGGTTTAGCCAGTTAATTAGCTGATAAAACAACTTAAAGTATAAGGATCTGATTTTCAAATATTATTTGGGAGTGATAGAAGTATGCAATGCAAAACTAAATATATAAAAATCCCATTCAACATGGCCACTCTAGTTTTGGATATGTGTCATGCATAATGTGGCCAACTTTTTCATAGCTCAAAGAAGTAAACGTTAGGTTGGGTTCAAATGCGGCTAATTTCGATCCCTGAGAGCTCGGTGTTAGCTCAGAAGTGCGATCCAAAATGCTTCCATCTTAGGCTCACGAAGGTTGGACAGTCTAAAAGAAAGTATGGAGATGGTTCTACTTCATCTTCCTCTTGACAGCTGATACAAAACGGATCAGTTGAAGTTTCTAGTTTTATCGCGTTAATACCGATCGCGCGATGGCCGGTCAGAACCACAATCAGTAGCCCTTGAGAGTTAACGTGGTAAACTGGAAGAAGTACCTAAGAACCTAAGAAGCACTCTGATTCAATTGATTGGGAGGTCGGACATTCCCTTACCGATTTTGAGCGCTCCATCTCACCCTTTAGCAGTGAGTCTACCGCTTCCTTGATGGCAGCTGTTTCCACCTGAAAGACACAGCAGCAGTGCGGAAGCCTGAACATAGTTTTGGTAAGGAGTTATCGACAACAGACATCCCACCAACCCTGTTTCCAAGTTTTCATTCGTTCGTGAAGAAGTTTATCGCTCCCTTCTTCGAGTAACCCCGCAATACCCATCCCTCTCCGGGAGCCATTTCGAAGGCACTGTAATCTATGTGTTCAGGGCGAAATCAAATCCCTCCAGAATTTCAATGTGTTACCACCTGGTTTCTCTTAGCCTGACGTTCAGCGCCAGTGTAGGCTTAAATCTGGTTTCACAGAGCTAACGAATTACTTTGGGCCAGATACCTCACCTTTTACCGATAACTCCGCTACAGAAGTACAAGGCAACCGTCGCCTTCCTTACGCTATCCTCAATGTTAGGCTTCCACGACAGCTTTCTATCCAGGATCAAGCCTAAGTACTTGATCCTGTCTGAGAGCCGAAGACAAACAACTCCACTCGAGGTAAGGGCCATAACGGGTATCTGTACTTCCAGGTAAACAAGACCAGTTCCGTATTGTTAGAATTTACTGTGAGGCCGCCGTTGATCGCCCACCTAGTTACCTAGTTCAGGTAACCTTGAGCCAGAATAAAAATAGAAATCGTCCCTAAACCAAAAGTTCCACATCATCTACATAGCCGATCAAGCGACAGCCCGCTTTTACAGTTCCTCTATTGAATCTGCGCTGAGTGCAGGCGATCGCAAAGTCTGCCGCGACAGTTCTGTCACGCAGTAATCAGTAGATAAATATTTTCAGGTTTCAACCTGTACATTATAAATTTACTTAACTATTGCCTACTGCATAATCTTTATGCGTGAGGACTTCCTCTGACCACTTTAATAATGTGTGCAGAGCGGTATTCAACGATCTTTCCTTGCAACAAGCATGTTGAAATCTTGTGTAACAGTCGCGAGGAATCGCGTTTCTTATATACAGGTCTACGAAGAGAGGCAACACTGACTACCATCCAAGCCTTATGGATGTACCCGGTCTTCACGCCCTTCGCATGAATAGGATCCAACCAATTCAGAGCCCTTTGCAGCCATCGGTCCCCGGCGACTTTAATGGTTTAAAGGAATTTATCGCCCAGGTTATGTGACGATCGTCCATAAGATAGGAAAAATACAGAACCTGAAGTACAAAATATCGCAAATAAGTACATTTGACTGTACTTCGAGGTACGAAGTACAATTGCTAAAAAAGAAGTACTGTACTTCCGAAAGAAGTTCTGTACTTCCGAAAGAAGTACGGTTGGTCACATTAGTAATGCAGTGTGCCACATTTTTCTATGCACGCAAACAACATTCGGTTTGCATGCCTGCGTGTTTGTTCTATTGGCTTTGGTGTTTGCAATTATCTTCAGTTTCTTCTTTCTGTTAAGTTTTGGTTGCTTTGCTATTTGCACTCTGTTGTATTGCTTCTGCTCTTTTGTAGACGTTGTTTTATTTCGAATTCTATTTTTAACTGTACCACCAACTTTTCTAAACAATTTAAAATACTACAAACTTCTACAAAACTTAATTAAAAAGTTGCAAAGATTAAGAGTTTCTCAAGTATCGTCGTCATTGTCGTCGCGTGTAACATGCTCACATGGGCATCGGAAGGGTCATACACATGCAGAATTACATATGTACAAACATACAGTATACACGAACATGCATGGGTTTGAAAGCAAATATACAGTTGGGGCCTGATATACTCCGGAAAAACTTATGTAACTACGTATTTCGCTCGACACTTTCTTCACATGTTTACTCTCAGTACAGCTGACGGTTGTTTATAGTCCGGCACTTTTTCATCAGTTAATGCCACAATTTTATTGCTTAATTTTCAAACTGCGTGGTGCTACATACATGCTTACGTATGTACTCGTACATTGCTGAGTGAGAACTTTTGGAAAAACTTTTATTGAAAACAAATCTAAACAAATAAAACGAAAGTCATTCAATTAACAAATTTAATTTTAAGCTATACTCCTTAGGGTATGATTAAATACTGTTTTTTAGAGTGGAGAGTGAACTTATGCTCGGCATTATTCACTGACAAAGAACAAGGGCTTTCATGCCATAAAAGATCAAAATTTCTTCACAGCGCTAATGCAATAAAATCACAAGACCGGCAAAAATTTTAAATACTTGAATATACATACTTACCCACGGGGCCCGCACTTTCTCTCGACGGCTCTACTAAGGACTATTTTCTGTGAGCCTTATGAGATGTTGAGGAGGTGCTCAATAATACTACCTGTAGTTATATCCAGGGCCGTGAACCTCCTCCCCCAAAAACTAATTTGTTTAAACAATGCATTCTATTTATCAAATCAAATAAAATTTTTTTTCTTCGAACTTAATTTCCAAGGAGTTCGGACCCATTAAAACTCCGGTCCCGGAAACACCCCTCTCTTTAGTCTTGCCTGGTGCTATCTCAAATGCATTGGAACTAAGAGGCATAAACCCTTCTGCTATTCGGTAAAATGGAAAAAGAGTTAACCGAAACTTGATTTGGTCACTCTTCGATATCAGTGCCTGAATACTCTGATGAGATCAAATATATAGACAGCGGGATAACCTGATCAACTGCGTCTGTGGAGTTGTTTCTGGAAAAGACACATTTTCAAATTCATTATGCAAGTAGCAGCCGTCTCAAGGTAACTCCCTAATCGGCTTTCTTACAAAAATTCCTATGCAAAACTGCTTTATAAAAGAAATCTGAAAAGATATGAGTGTTGAAAAGATGCGAACTTGCTGATTTCACGCCGAGAGGATTTGCTTTCGAAAAAAAAAATTTCACGGGATCCGTTCCCTTAATCCAAAATACTTACATTGGTACATAGTCGGGTCAAGGATGAAAAACTTGGCTCAAGACTTAAAACTCCAATGCATTCCAAGCTTCAGTGTTAGCATTTTTACCCTGCTTCGAATTTAACCTTGAAAAGTTGTTCGCAGGACAGATATCATCGCCTAGGCAATTATCAGCCGCATATATTACTGAAAATGATACTGCTTAATTAGGAAAGTAACTCGAGTGGACTCACATGGAGGTCAGATAGTGTATGGCGAATTTTGATATGCGATCCCAAAAACCTGATTGTCTCCTGGCTGTCACAGTCGATATTTACCCTTCTAATAGGTATTATAATAGTATATAGCCAATCGATTGCTTTCTCTTTAGCAGCCACCTCTGCTGAAAATACGTCCTTTAAGTCCTCTAAGTTCTGCTCCTCTCTATGCAGCTAGCCTAGATGGTAGACAGTCAGCAGCATGACATGTCCCCAACTCTTTGCAGTTTTGCAAGAATAATTCTATCCGTTTACGAACACTTAAGGAAAATTAATTTCACAATAATATTTACTATATTCAAAGGCTCTGCTTTGAATTTTTTTTTAACTAAAGTGGTGAAATAACATAAAAATCGTATAAAAAGAGATTTGTCTTCGGTTACTAAAATCAAAAGCACCTGAATAAATAACTTTGCTAGCGTTGAAAATCTAAAATGTATATATGTATGGAAAAGAACGTAAAAATTGCGTTGTACTGCATGCCTAATGTGACCAACCGTACTTCTTTTTTAGCCATTGTACTTCGTACTTCGCAGTACAGTCAAAAAAATTTCTTTGGGATATTTTGTACTTCAGTTCCTGTATTTCTCCGACCATCTGGACGAGCGTCATAGG